GCCGCCCACTTAAGGGTATACTTGTCATCATCAATTTGTTTTAGAGATTAATAAAAAATAGGGTTAGAGGAGAAGGAAAACTAATTCGACTTCTTCTTCTCTTACCTCTTCTCTTCGACATACACAGCTCTTGCACTATCATTCAGATCTGATTTGTACTGTTAATCACTGATTTTAAACCTGATATTAGAGGACTGATCCACATCTAAAACAAATGGGATTTCAAGGGTCCTGAGGTAGCTGTTTAATAATGTTGTTTGCTTCCATTGGTGCAGCTGGGATTATGGGTCCCAAATTAGCGTAGAGGCACCACTCATCAAACTTGTCCCCAATCTGGTCTTTTTCTCCTAATGAAGTGATAAATAATTAATAATTGGGCAAAAAACTACAGTTCTACTTTTCTTTTGGTAGACAAATAATAAACAAATTGCAGCTATAGTGAGATTAACTCAGAACTTACCATGATATCAAGTAACTTCAAGAATCTCAATGGAGAATTAAATTCATAGAATGTTTAAACAGCAATCACTAAATTGAAAATATCATGAAATATGGTATAATTTGATCTGAAAAAGAGGGTATTTCCAGATTATTTTTAATAAAACATTGTAAAATAAGAAGAAAAATGGAAGAGGGGACACTACAGAAACACATTGGGAACATTTCCTGTACTTGTATGCTGTCATTAAAGGGGAGGTGTTCCCAATGTGTGACTTTAGTGTCCTGCCCACAGTGTGTATGCAGCAGATCCGCAGTCATTTTTAGCAGCAATTCAAACCTCTGCAGCATAGTTTTTTGTTTTTGATAAATGAGGAAATTTTTTAGAGAAGGGAGAATAACAGATAACAATAGACCCATGGAGCTCTGCAGCATAGTTCATAGTTGTTCTATTTAGTCTGAATTAGAAGGAAAAAAGGCAGTTTTAAAATGGAATGATATAGGTTTTTCTTACATGGAAATGAGATTCATTACTCTTAAGCAGGATATTTAAAGTTCCCCGCAAAACAAACTACAGATAGTAAACAGTCTTTAGGAATCCTTAATGGGAATGCAAGTCCGGTTGGATTTAGATACAAAAATTCAAAGAACATTAAACTAGGTCTTACACTCTAAGTACAAGTCAATGGCACGAGCCAGATGTTTTTTCCCAGGCAATTCTCCCAGCAGTGAAACAATGGGAGAAAACGTCATGCTGATAACATCTGGTGCCAAATTTACAGTTTCTACCCATTTGGCATGGCTCTGTACAAGATCGTCCCCTCCTCTTCTCCTAAAAATGACTGTAACATCCTGAAACAAAAATTTTGACTCTGAGCAGATGAAATGTTTTTGCATTTCAGCCTAATAATATAGCTGTATCCATGTAAGAATTATGCATCAGATATTGTTATTAAAAGAACATGATTTACTAAACAATCATGCTTGACTACTAATAAAAACATCATGCTTGGTAATAAATTCACTTTTGTTTAGGTTCAAAAGCATTATCAATGGGAATGTCTCAATTACCTCCAGAATAGGAGAATTTCCACTCACCTTGGACACCAAATATAACTTCTATTTTCAAACTAGATTACAATTTGGTTCGTTTTCAACATTGAAACAACATCTGGCTCACATTTGATAAGCAGTGTATATGTATTGTCACATGTTAAAGGACTTTTTTTGGTACAACCCATGTTAACAGTTAGTTTGTTGTGTGAGCAGAGGTGACACCTTGTCAGGATTGTACTCCTCTTTTTTTATTTAATAAATTTTCATTTACTCCTCAAAAAAATAAAGAAGGAAAAGGAGAAGATTAAAAAGAAAAAAGGTAAATTAAGTCTCCCATATTAAAGGAGAAAAGTAAATGAAAGTCTAATTTAAAAACTTTTCAACTATTACGAGTTATATTATAAAAAACTCATTTTGCTTTGATTTCCTTTTCTTCCTTTTTTTGTGAATGGTAATGATCAAAATGGTTTGCATTAAAGAAAGAAGAAAATATGAAAAGGAATGGCGTGAAAAATGGATATTAGTCAAAAAAAAAGTAAGAGCCTGTCCTCTACATTGTAACATACAAACTTTTCAATGGCATTATGGCACAAGAACTTGCAATATACAGATTTTTCCAAGCCAAGGGCAATGGAATTCCGCTCTCTTGAAATAAACCTCAATACAGTGGTAAATTACTCAAAAATCAAAATGTGTCTATTTTTTTATAAGAATAATGGATGTGGATGACCTCCACCAAAATCCTACCCTTTCTAATGGCATCTAAGATAAAAGGTGAATCTGAGGTGGCAGTAAGTCCAATTTGGAACTCTTCTCAGGGCCCATGAGCACCTATGTCTAGGGGTGTCAATCGGGTGGTTTTGGGTTGGATCCAATCCGAACCGAAACCAATCAAATTGGTTTTGAACGGTCCAGTATAGAAATTGGGTTAGACTAAATCCAAAATAAATTCGTCCAAACTCCTATCGGTTTGATTTGGACTTAAATCAAATCTCAAAATAGAACCGAAAACCAGAACCAAACCCTAGAAATTTGGAATTCTGAAACGATGAAAACCTCTTGTTCGAACTTTGAAGGTTTGAAGGCCTGAAATCTCACTCTCCAACTGCGCTTCTCTTCAGCAATATCTCTGGAAAACAATCTCTTCTCTCTCTCCAGTGGTAATTCCCTCTCCGACTACACTTCTTTCTGGCAATATCTCTGGAAAACAATCTCTTCTCTCTCTTTAGTGGTGCTTCTCTCTCCGACTACGCTTATTTCTGGCAATATCTCTGGAAAACAAACTCCTCTCTCTCCAGTGGTGCTTCTCTCTCCAATGGCGCTTCTCTCCAAAATAGAAAACGATCTCTTCTTTCTCTCTCCAGTGGAGATTCTCTCTCCAACGGCATATTACAGATAACTTTTTTCCTATTTTGGAGTTATTCCAATTGAAGAGGTGAGCCCAATATTTTATTATAGCAAGCAATAGGTGTTGCTATATGTGATGGTTTTGTTTTTCTAGAATTTCATGGATCAGATTTTATTCTTTTACCTGTTTTATCTCCTACTAGGATTTATAATATTTCATTTTAAATTTTACGACCATTATTTCTAGTGTTTGTTTTGCTCTAAAGATGAGTGCAATTTTTCTTCTTTTAGGAGTTGCTTAGAACGACCAATTTCATTATTTATATCATGCAAGAACTCTTTCAATATTCTATCCAATGTATCTTCTGTTAAGGTTTCCAAATTCTAAGTTACATAGTTTAATTAGTGTCCGTTTGCTTCATAATCCGAATCAGAATCGGATCCAAATCCTTCGGAATCGGAATCAGAACTGGAATCAGTTGGAATAAAATTTCATTCCGAATGGAAGGGAGGGAATGGCCATTCCCTTAAATGGGGAAATACCAATCTAGGTTGGACAGTCCAATAAGACAGCGGATTGGACCAGTCCATTGAAAAGTCCAATAAGACAATGGATTGGACCATTCCATTGAAAAGTCCAATAAGACAGTGGATTGGACCAGTCTAGGTTGAATGTTATGGGCCCGGGCGTAGGATCTCGTCACGGGTCGGTCCACAGGGAGAACCTCTAGCTTCCCCTTGCCCCTCCCTTTGCGTGTAGACCCTATCGTGGCGACCTAAGGGGTGATTTGTCCAAGAGA